AAAGTGGGGGAGCTCTGTTTCATTTGTCTGATTTCTTCCAGTGTTGGGGGTAAACATCACTTTAACCAGGTCCTGAACCCCCTCTCGCGCAGTCTGCTTCTCTAAGTTTTCCCCATTTCAACTATAGGTAGTCCTCAAGTTATGGCAGGAATTTCTATGGGTTTGTGAAGCACATCACATGACTGCATTGGTTAGCAACAGCAATCCCTGCAGTCCCCATTGCCATCATTAAGTGAGGACTGTGGGCCATTAAGCGGGCACCTCAACACAATTTCCTGCTGACTTCCAATTACTAAAGTCAGTGCCTTTATCAACTACCCTGGCTTCAGTACTTGGCTAAATCCACGCCACCTATTTCAGCAGAAGTTTTTAGCCTGCAATCACCCCCTCCGCCCAAAACTACAGTTTCCAAGCCTCCCTCCTGGAACGTCACGCCTGTTGGAAAACTGAAACCTTTATTCTTCATTCCAGCTGACTTCCTGGAATATAGAAAACATTCGTAATAATCACTTCAAATGAGAAAAAATGTTTATACCTCCACATTCTTTTCCACATATATCATTTTCTCAAATGGGGAACTCTGGATGAGCTGGCTCTTAACTCCCATTCTGGCTGGGGATTTTGGAGGAGAAATATGTCTTACTTAAGGTCATTAAGCTTCACAAAAGCCATCTAAAGATATATAATCTAATTAAAGACATATGGAGAAAAAAAATATCAGTCACACATGACATAATATATTTGAAGGGACACTGTACATGTGCTTTGGTCTTACTCACTGCTGTTTTTGCCCACTGATATTATCATTGTAAACAAGGTTCTTAGTAGGAATAAGATAGTATCACTAATTATATTCAATTGTATCCCCCCCAAAAAGAGATTAATATTCCTGGAAGGATACTTACATATCAGATTTTAAAGCCTGGTTAACAAAATTTGTCAATTTTCAACTTTTGAATTATCTTTTTATTGAAGAAAATGGCATTCTAGACATTATGATTCCATGCGGCCAGGAGTAAAAAGTGAGTTGCAGTGATATTACAAACATGTAACTACTATCTTGGAGAAAAGTAGAATAATTCAAAGGGTTTCTTTCGCTTTTTCTGTTTTTTTTACACTTATGCCAGCCTACTAGTTTTGTTTTGTTTTTATGTACAGTTATATTTGAATTACATTCATATGTTACTAAATTTCTCCTTTGTAGTTTTAAAAAAAATGAAAACCTTTTTAAATTAAAGAGATTCATTTAACTAAAAAAGGTATTGCACCACCATTTTATTGAAATGTAAAGTAGGTCCAGATAACTGTTAAGAGACCACAACATTATAATGAATATAGCCTTTTGAAAATGAAAATAAATATCTAAATCTCAATAAAACCACTTTGCAGAAAAATCCACACATTCTGCTATAAATTAAATCCTAAGGTCACTGTTAAGGGGCATTATTTATTTACTTACTTACTTATTTGATTTCTACAGCCACCCATCTCAGAAAATGACTCTGGGCAAATATAGAAATCAATCAGTCAATCAAACAAACAAACGTATTCCTTGTATCTGACAGAAAACTCAAAGTGAATGAATTGTGATTCCTCCTTGCCCCTTTCTAGTTTTCTAGCCATTTCATCCAATTTTGCTTAATGTCTCCATCCCAACATAAATAGTTAAGGAGCAGAAGGGGTTCTGTAATAACAAATTAAGGCAGATATAAGTGCCCCAGGATAATGTTTCAAGATCCAGTCTGGGTCAGTCACCAGAACCAAAGGTTTGGTCTTCTGAGCTTTCAGACTCATGCTGAAGCCCATCCTCAAGAAACTTCTCTTTAGCAGAGTGTGTGCTTTGGACTATTCTGTGTATGGTGTATATATGGTGTCTGGTTATGTTTGGCCTTTTAGTTGTCAATTGGGGTGTTGATGGCTGACTATTAAGTCACTGGCGGTTGTTTCCTTGTGTTGACAAGCCCTCACCACCTAAGTACTTGATAAGCTGGTGGTAAATCAGCACTCCTTTTGACTGATGAAGGGCCCATTTCCCAAGCTTCAATCACTTCCCTGGCTACTTTTGTGCCTGCTCGTCCAACAATCTTAGCAGCTGCAGAATTGAGTGTATGTTCTTGTTCATTGCAATGTAAGGCTAACAGTGAGTTTGGGTCTCCTTGTCTGATTACTTGCGTATGTTCTTGCAATCTGGTGGTTAGCGTCTTCCCCATCTGTGCTACATAGTTACAGGGACAATCCATGCAGGGGATCCAGTAGATTATATTGGAATATCTCCTGCCTCAAGTGATCTTTATAAAGCATAATTGTACTCATTCTGTAATAACTTCCAGGATGGTAATAAATATTGCCTAAACTTAGCCACAAAAGTTCATTGTGTAATTATGGCCATGAACTATCTTTTACCCAATATCCATCACTGGATTATCTCATTGCATAATCCATCACTGAAATATTTCCATCACTGGACAATTTGCATTACTGGATAATCCATTACTGGATTATTTTTCAACCAAATCCACATTTGTTGTTGCTGAGGTTAAAATTGAAAACAGAGTAATCTATATTAGTAATAGAGATTATTTATTAGATTATCCCTCCTTTATTACTGTATAAGTAACTCAACGAATATACATAATACTCTTTCCTCCTCCTATTTTCCACATAGCAGAATACATTTTTTAAAATTACATTGAAAGATTTGAACAATTATATTAATATAATATAAAAATAGAGCTGGTACTTCTTGACATATTTCTTATCTGGACTACCTCACAAGGCTGATATTAACTTTGCAAGACTCAAAGTACATTTCTTAACGCTCACCTTTACAGTCCAAGAAACTAGAGAGCTTCCCTTGTGAGGTGTTTACCATGCCCCATTTCTTCTGCAAACTCAACTATCTCTTATCTAACTATTTTTAGACTGTGGCTTTTCCTCCTGTCTCCCAGGGTCATTCGCACATATCATTACGATGAGCAAATTTTTCAAGTCTGTTTGTGTCTTCTTTTCCTTCCTTCTTATAACACAGGTTGGCAACTATGGCATCTTTATGACCTGTGGGCTTTAACTCCAGGAATTCCTCCAAGAATTCTATCAATAATGGCCCAAATTAGGAGCATTGATGGGAAAGTAATAAAAGGCAAGATGGCAGTCTCAACTATATAACTGAAGCCCCACCCCTTTTATGTGACCCTGCCTCTGATGCAAGTGGAGTACTTGCCTTTGTTTTTAAATTCAAAATAAAAGATCCCAATCTCCATTTCTTGGAGGAATATTTGTCTTTTCATTTTTTTTTCAGGCCAGGTATTAAGTAGATGCATATTTTTTGAGCCCCTTGAGGCCGTTCTGAAATGTTTCCATAAGAATCTGTGGCTCTGAATTAATCATCTGCTAATATAGAAATTAGTAAACAAGTAAGTATTAAATACTTTCAAATGAAACTATTTTATAATGCCATCTGTATATCTAATGGACTGAGTAAGGATAACATAATTATACATCTGCTCTTTTACTCTTATTAATGTCTATAAAAAAGCACAATATGGTGAAGGTTGTAGTCATGGCAACCACAAAGTAGCCTAAGCAATAAGGAATAATTGCTGTTACGATTCAAGGTAAATATCTCATTCTCTTGTTCCCACCTACACCCTACTGTAAAAAAAAATAGCACACAATATTTTACATATATCTTTTCTTTTTAACAATTTCTTTTGCATGGCAGTAGATAATGTTTAAATAACAACAAAAATGTAAGGTGGATAATTTATTAATACAGCTAGGATGAAAACATTTTAAAACATTGAGTGGTAGAAAAAGCAATGATAGAAATAAAGATCATATTGTCTTAAATTCCTGACAAGCCAACTATTAACCAATAAACCAATCCACCTTTAAGCCAATGCAGCCAATTTGGCCAACAGGAATTTCTGCATGTTATAGTAAGTTAACACATTGCTGACTTTAAAAAAGGAATTTACATGCTCTCCTCATCTCTTTCATTATGCTTATTTACCATATCTTCCCTCAGCTTATTTTTTTCCATTTACCTTTTTTCATCATCCAAGTTTCACAATGTACCTTCATGCTTAATTCCCAAATATTCCCATAGGTGTCTATAGAGGGGGAAAAGTGATGCCGCATAGGCTACTGTGTCATTATGAATATAAAGTATGCAATTTATATTAATCATGGCAAATTCATAGCATTTATGGTTGGCATGTGATTTATCCCCACTTTTATTAGTTATAAGTAACTCAAGATGGCAAACATTCCCAGTATTCCTTTTTCCTAATTTCCCCACAACAACCTTGTGAGGTGAATTGGGCTGAGAGAGAGTGACTGGCCCAAAGTCATCTAGCCAACTTTCATGCCTAAATTGGGACTAGAACTCACAGCACCCTCACCCCTACACCAAACTGGCATGATGATGTCAGGATGTGTGTGATATCACTGTGCCTTGCACAAGCTTCTATAGTCCCCAGTGGATAAGATTGCTAATCCTGCAGTTCTGATGTTCAAATGCATAACTACAGAATGGGCAGTACCTGGCTCAATAATAGTAACTGTGAGAGGGCTCTTGGTATCCTAGTGGATAATCACTTAAATCTTGGGGTTGCATCAACAGAGGGATAGCATCAAAATCACAAAAAGTGATAGTGATACTCTACACTGCACTAGCAAGGCCATATGGAATACTGTGTCCAATTCTGGTTACCGCAAAAAAGATTTTGAGACTCTAGAAAGAGTGTAAAAAGCAACAAAGATGCTTAGGAGATGATGAACAGTTAAGAAAACTAGATATGTCTAGCCTAACGAAGAGAAGGCTTAGCGGTGACATGATAGCTGTCTTCTGGTACTTGAGAGGCAGTCATAGCGACAAGAAGGTTGACTTATTCTCCAAAGCACCTCAGGGCAGGAAAATAAGCAATGGGTGGAGGCTCATTAAAGAGAGATCCAACCTGGAATTAAGGAGAGATTTCCTGACAATAAGAACAGCTTACCTCCTGGATTTGGAGTGCCGCATTGCTGGATGTCTTCAGGAAAACTGGACAGTCCAGAATGGAATGTCTCTTGCCTTGGGCAGAGGGTTGGACAAGAAGATCTCCAAGGTTCCTTCCAGCCCTGTGATTCTATGATTCTAAGAAGAGAGGTTTCTTCCTCTTCATATGCTTCAAGTTGTCTATGAATTGCTACAACTCAGCATGTCTGTAATGATTTAAAGTGAAAACTAGGTGTGGAGCTGCAGGCTACATATTAATTCAATATCCAATTTCTTAGGAGGTTGAAAGTTCAACCTAAAATATTTCTGTTAAAACATCTCAGGTTAGTGTGCGAAAAGCCCGTGTTTAACAAAACCATGAGATGCTACTTCCTGTCAGCCAAAATTAAAATGAGAACAAATAAATCACAGGAGTATTTTGCTATTTAACTCTTTTATCTATTTAAAGGAAAATAAGAGACTAACACAGGATGAGAAGACACTTTTTCTAAATCTAAAAAGAAACAGATAAATATTTGGACTGAATCTTGTTTTTGATTGGAACCACTCTTGTCTCTCTCTTTGCATTTTACTTTCACATCACAACTATCAACAATCAGACTAGATGTTTCAGTGGAAAGGGGCTATTGCAACTCTACTAACTTAGATCAGATCAGCTCCCCTTTTCTAACTGTAAGAAAAGTGTTTAATAACTTAACAGATATTTTAGGGAAATCTTAGTTTACTGTTGACTTCAAATCTTTGATGACCGAAAAACTACAGTCCTCCCTCGAGTTGTTGAACCAAAGCTGAAAAATTAGGTCACCAGATGTATTGATTTAGAAGCTGAAAGTGATACAATGATTATAATGGAATGAAACATGAACTCTTTCCATTGGATAGGAAAGATAGATTGGATCATTTTTTTAGTATAATTGCTTTAGCTACAGATTCCATTTATTTCTTCATGTTATCTCTGATCTCAAGCAATTAAAAATCAATATTCACCGCCTAATGACCACAAGACACATCACTGTATAGATAAAAAGTGCAGGATTTATTCTACTCTCTTGGTCTTCCACTCTGCTTACTCTTCATTTATAAGATTCCTATCTCATCGTTATTTCTTTCTACCTGTTTTTCCAGGATTGGAGTCCCTGAGCACTTGTCCCTGACTTTGTTCTGGTGGGGTATGCGGTAGACTTTGACCAACCTAAAATGTATTTCCTCAGATGAATCTTTTTTCTTCTGAAAGCTATAAGCCTGTTTCACTATACTGAAATTACTTTTCCACTCTCAGGAATGCTCACATACATACACAAATACAGGCTACAGCTACAATCCAGATGTTAAGAATTTTAAGAGGCCAAAGACTTGCTTAGTTTTGTAAGAAAAATGAGGGAAACCTGGTACGTGCTAAGAGATTTTAAACCAAGTTTCTCCTGGGTTTTTTTGTTCTAAAAATAAGAGTCACTTTGCAGAGTTATTAGCTGCCTTTCCCCTTTCCGCTACTTTCCGCTACTCCAGCATAGCAGGAAGTAAAAGGACCAGCTGTGTTTGTATCTTGAAAACAAGAGACAGAAAAAGACTACTCTACACACAGCCTGGATATCTGGAATTAAATGGAATGACGCTTTTACAGGAGTATATATCAAGCAATTACCCAGACGCATTTTAAAACGGCTCTGTAGACACTGTTGTCTCACTGTTCTGAATTTCTCTGCTTCTTTTCACCATCTTGCCACAGTAAATGCATTTACAGGAGGAAATGCAGAATAACTGCCTTTATTATTTTTACTATGTTTTATCCTATTTTTCTGCTAAATCCTAGGGGCAGAATTTTTAAAAAATCGAAACCACAATACTAAAAACCTTAGAAAAACAGATAAATCCTCATGAGCTATTTTAAATTGAAAAGGTCTCATGAAGAGGAAAGGCTGGCTCTTCCAAAAAGATGAAAGAGTAAACAGGGGTGGAGTACAAGTTCCAAAGGATGAATTCCAGAGCTTGAGGGTGCCACCAGTCTCCTCCATTATATGCATGACAAACAAGCATGAGGAAGTGATGACATTTTTAAGGTAGAATCTCCTGCTGACCTTAAGATTTCAACAGGCTCCTATTACAGTCAATGATCTTTTAGAAAAAGGATTCAGAATTGACACAACCAGGAATCATCTATCCAAAAATGTTTTTAGCTATTTTGTAAGAAATGCTGAGATGCAAAACATATTTTTGTGCATGACATAACTATTTTCAAGTGGTTAGTGCATCCCTTGTTTAATGTGTTTTGTTTTAACCCATCCAAGAACTGTCTTTAGTTTGGGAAAATAAAGAATATGGGAATTTTAATCAGTGTCAGTTTTAATCTGATTTTTGCCTCCGACAGCTACTATTCATTAAAAAGAATTCTAGACTGTCCAATTTTTACACAATAAGTCTTGCTGCTTACTAGATAGTAATAAATTTTTCATCACATAAGCTCTGATGTGTTATACTCCATTTCATTAGGGAAATCAAGATCCATGGTAGCTGTAGTCATATAATATTTAACTTTTACGTATACTAACCCAGCTCTCATTGCACTCTGAGATACAGACATGAGTATACCTGATGATGAATAGCACTTTATTACAAACAGAATTGAAGCTAGATATTTCTTATTCTTGTGCACAAATAAAAAAGGAAAAACTTAATGGTAAGTCTAACTTTCATAATGTCTGGTTTAAATGAAGCTGCTCATGAAGAGCATTCAGAAGTGGTAGTTTGTCCAAAATATAGCGCTTTGGTTTGTAATGGGTATCCTTTGAAGCACCCACCTAATATCTTTAAAAAGCTGCACTGAATGCCAGACACCAGATACAATTCAAGGTGCATCTTAGGTTAATAGATATGAGTTACCTATAAGCCCTATAAATAAATAGATAAATAAGCATCCTTCAAAGTACAAGGAAAGCCTCACCTCTCAGGTGCTTGGAAGAAGTTACTAGGGCAGTGGTTCTCAATCTTTTTAATGCCGCGACCCCAACCAGTCATAAGTCGAGGACTACCCAACCAGTCGTAAGTCAAGGACTTTCCCTGCCTGGGAGTGCCGCGCATGCGTGGTGCTGCCCCCTGCACCGGCGAAGGCGTAGCTGGCAAGCGGCAGAGACGGCGCAGGCCAATCACCGGCTGGGCCACCAGCTGGCCCAGCCCAAGGGAGGTAAGGCACCCGCTGGGCCCCACGCGTGCCAGCAACCCTCCCTGCACCCGCCGGCCTCCCACTCCCACCCCTGGCACTCTTTTATTTACATTTCTAGTAGTTGCTCAGCAGGGAGGGGTGGAAACTTCCAGACAGCTTGCCTTCGCTGCAGACAACTTGCAGCACCGTTTGCAGAATGGGACTTTTGGCGGGCTCAGCAGGGCAGAGACAGCCTGGACAATTCCTATTGGCTTTTGAAAGCCAATAGAATTAGACTCTATTCAAGAGAATCTATTCTATTGGCTTTCAAAAGCCAATAGAATAAAAGGGAGTAGCACAGCTAAGGAAAAGGGGAAAAAAATGGCGGACTACGTTGTTTGGCGACCCCTGTGAAATGATTGTTCGACCCCAAATGGGGTCCCGACCCACAGGTTGAGAACCACTGTACTAGGGAATCAGCAATATCAGCCCAGTCTAATTTAGACAAACTCTTTTTTCATACATAGAGAAAAAAAGTCAGATAGACACCAGGGAATCGATGGATCAATCTCTCTTAAAGAAAAACAGGCCAAGTGTTATGTAATTTGCATTTGTAGTAAGAAATAGCAATAGCTATAATAGCACTTAGACTTATATACCGCTTCACAGTGCTTTACAGTCCTCTCTAATTGGTTTACAGAGTCAGCCCCCAACAATCTGGGTCCTCATTTTACTGACCTTGGAAGGATGGAAGGTTGAATCAACTTTGAGCCTGTCAGAATCAAACTCCTGGCAGCGAGCAGTGAAATAGCCTTCAATACTGCATTCTAACCACTGCCCCACCACGGCTCCAATTACTAACATTTTAAACAATCAGTAAAATAATCATTCATCATTAGCAGGCAACATAAAAGGTTTTCATTTTATAAATTCAGCTTATAATCAAATTTGCAATCCATCTACAGAACAGCTTTCAGAGTTTCAGTATGAAGACCTCTTGCAAAGTTGTCTAATTGTCAATAATATCCATCCAATCCTAGAAATGTATTTAAACACTGTTTTGTTCTGTCTTCTTCTTTTTCACTCTATTTTCTTTATATACTTTATTCTTTAAGATAAGCTTTTAATAACTGGATGCCAACAAATCAGGTTTTAAGATGACTTCAGATGAGAGTTCAGCCAGCTATCAGAAACCAAAGCGGCTTTAGGACTAACCTCAGGATCAATCCAGGTAATCCCCCATCTAAGTACATTAAAGCAATAGTCAGAATCCAAATTTAATCCCTCAGAATCCTACTGATTCCAATGGCAGAAAGAAGCATAATGCTTGAAATAATTAGAATTTAAACCTCCTAACTATAAAAGGCACTGAAATTCTTTTCTCATAGACCTGCCTTGAATAGAATATTTAATGCTTTTAAAAGTTCTTCCTCCCCTCAAACTTTTTCATTTCAGATTTAAATAAATATCTCATTTCATCATCTGGATCACAGACAATAAAATTTTCTCTGTTTCTCCGATTTGGAGGAAAAAAGATAGGGTTAAACTTACTAATATTTGAAATTTGCCAGAAGTCTTCTTCAGAGACCCTCACCGGATAAATAACCTGCAGCTTTTAGGAGAAAGAAATTATAGCTATTAGCCAGCCAAGGAAGGGTCAACAGAGAATCATGAATTTAAATCCCAAAACGCCATCCATCCTTTTCATTGTACAAAGAATCCAAAATTTTATTTAAAATAGCTGCAGTGAACTTTCAACTCACTATAGTATTACTGAACAGACACTCTGTATTGTGCCAGTTTGTTTTCATTACTTTTATGGCACAAAAATTAATTTATCTTTGAAAGTAAGGAATATTAAAGAATATGTGGTAAGGATGAATAATTCTACAAACTTATTTTCACTGAACAAAATAAGCAGCCTATAGCTATGTCTAAACTAGGAGCCGTTGTATCACAGTGGTCAGAATGCAGTATTGCAGGCTAACTCTGATCACAGCCAGGAGTTCGATCCTGACCAGCTCAAGGTTGACTCAGTCTTCCATCCTTCTGAGGTTGGTAAAATGAGGATCCAGACTGTTGGGGGCAATACGCTGATATTTTTAAACCACTCAGAGAATGTTATAAAGCACTATGGAACAGTATAAGTCTAAGTGCTATTGCCAAACCATTAGAAAGAAAGCTTCCTTGATAATTAAATCAAGGGGTAGTGA